CTATCAGGTTGAAGTTAGTCTCTATCGGGTGAAGTTAGTGTCTATCGGGTGAAGTTAGTGTCTATCGGGTGAAGTTAGTCTCTATCGGGTGAAGTTAGTGTCTATCGGGTGAAGTTAGTGTCTATCGGGTGAAGTTAGTGTCTATCGGGTGAAGTTAGTCTCTATCGGGTGAAGTTAGTCTCTATCGGGTGAAGTTAGTGTCTATCAGGTGAAGTTAGTCTCTATCAGGTGAAGTTAGTGTCTATCGGGTGAAGTTAGTCTCTATCGGGTGAAGTTAGTCTCTATCGGGTGAAGTTAGTGTCTATCGGGTGAAGTTAGTCTCTATCGGGTGAAGTTAGTCTCTATCGGGTGAAGTTAGTCTCTATCGGGTGAAGTTAGTGTCTATCGGGTGAAGTTAGTGTCTATCGGGTGAAGTTAGTGTCTATCGGGTGAAGTTAGTGTCTATCGGGTGAAGTTAGTCTCTATCAGGTGAAGTTAGTGTCTATCGGGTGAAGTTAGTGTCTATCGGGTGAAGTTAGTGTCTATCGGGTGAGTTGTCTCCTATCGGGTGAAGTTAGTCTCTATCGGGTGAAGTTAGTGTCTATCGGGTGAAGTTAGTCTCTATCGGGTGAAGTTAGTGTCTATCGGGTGAAGTTAGTCTCTATCAGGTGAAGTTAGTGTCTATCAGGTGAAGTTAGTGTGTGTGTGTGTGTGTGTGTGTGTGTGTGTGTGTGTGTGTGTGTGTGTGTGCGTGCGTGTGTGTGTGTGTGTGTGTACTGATTTACAGAATCTCTACCCACTAACAGGAAACAGGAAGTGACTCCCCTCTGACTCACCTGTCTATGGACCACAGGTGGAGGCGGCGTGTTGCCGAGGCGATGGTGCCGCAGCAGCTTCCTGTCGAGCTGTGGCTGCAGGTGTTCAGCTTCCTGTCCTGGAGAGACAAGCTGAACCTGAGTCTCACCTGTTCTCACTTCAGACACCTGCTGGATAAGTCCCGCCCCCTGTGGCGAGGCTTCAGCGTGGTGCTGCAGCACTTCTCCCGCTACAACGCGGCCTTCTGGCGCAGCCTGGCTCAGAGGCACGTGGGCGGCGCCTCGGTGCGTTCAGGTAAGAGGAAACACCTGAAGCAGCTCTCCGCCTGGCTTCCCGCCCTCGAGGCTCTTCGATTGGACGATTGGAAGGAAGGGGGCGTCGACGAGCTGAGACTCTTCCAGCGGCTGCAGTGCCTGTCACTCACTTCCTGCTCCATGTCGCTGAGGAACGTGGACTTCCTGTTTCCTCTGAGCCAGAACCTGCTGCAGCTCAGCCTGTGCAATGTGCAGCTCACCTGTCCCGCCTCTCACCTGTTGGCCGGCCTCAGTCAGCTGACCCGCCTCACCTCGCTGCTGCTGCACCACGACGGCAGCCTGAGGGTCCCCACGCTGAGGGGCGTCCTGACTCACCTGAGCCGGCTGCAGCAGCTGTCGTGGACCATGATCACCTACAGGACGCTGGCTCCGGACTTCTTTAGCTCCATCCAGCTCACAGGTAAACACACCTGGATCAGCCAATCAGGAGTAGACTGGTTCATTAATGAGGTCCAGAGGTCAGTGCAGGCAAACAGAAACTTCATCTTTTGGTTCAAAACACTCTCACCTCTTTCAGGTAACTCTCAGTGTCAAAACAGAGTCTTCAAACCTGGTCGTGTTATTGCAGCACCTGTAAACCCTCACCTGTAAACCCTCACCTGTAAACCCTCACCTGTAATGGGGTCACACCTGTCCCGTGAGTCATGGGGTCACACCTGTCCCGTGAGTCATGGGGTCACACCTGTCCCGTGAGTCATGGGGTCACACCTGTCCCGTGAGTCATGAGGTCACACCTGTCCCGTGAGTCATGGGGTCACACCTGTCCTGTGATTGGATGTTTTCTCCTGTCTCTCGGCAGAAGCAGGGGGCCTGCAGCTGTCGGACCTCCAACTGTTGAACTACGACGCCGTGGTGACGCAGGAAGTCCTGCAGCCTTTGTCCCGCCTCCGCAGCCTTTCAATCTTCCACCTGTACTCCGTACCTGGACCCACCTGTCACCTGCAGACCTGGCTGACGTCGCTGCCGCAGCTCCGCAGCCTCAGCGTTCACGGTGGGTCAGGAAGAGGTTTTACCTGTAGAGGAGGGGGGGTCGTGGTCTGGGAGGAAGATCAGTGTTTAGACTGGGCCTCAGGTGTTACGCAGGTGGAGATGTGTACGAGCATCTGGGTGTCAGACCAGAAAAACAGATTGTGAGAGCGGCTGGCGGACTGAGCGATTGTTCTACCCCTTGTTTGTTTTTTACCTGAGTCTGATATCTTTCCTCTCAAACCGCTGACACACCGTGATGTCATCATGTTTTCACCTGTCTGTCCAATAGGAGGCCATCCTCTGGCGATGTACGCTGACTTCCTGCCGTCGTCCCTCCTCAGTATGACCCTGTGTGTGGACATGCAGCCTGAAGACCTGCAGGTGGTCTCTGTCAGAGCTCCTCACCTGGAGCACCTGCATCTGGAGCCCTGGAGCTCCTCCTCTAGCCTGGTGAGGCTCCTCCCACAGCTGTTCCCTCACCTGAGGACGCTCCGGATCAGGTGAGCCCCCGCTGAATAACTCCTACATGATCCTCAGGCTGATTGAACAAGCTAACATGCTAACCTGCTGTGTGTTTCAGACACCAGCACCTGTCCGACGATGACTTCCTGTGTGTGCAGCAGCTGCAGCGCCTTCACACTCTGGAGGTTCTGGACTCGTTCTACAGACCCGACCCGATGGACCCCAGCTGGGTCGTGTACCAGCCCAGTCCTCGTCTGATACAGATGATCTCTGTGCTGCAGAAACTGACCAATCACAGAGTCCACGTCATCACCAGCTCACACAGAGACCCGCTGTCCTGCCACTGTGTCTGACCAATCAGAGAGAGTCTGACCAATCAGAGAGAGTCCGACCAATCAGAGAGAGTCCGACCAATCAGACTCTGACCAATCAGAGAGAGTCTGACCAGCCTTATTACCTTCATTTCTCTAATGCTGAATATTTATTAGATATATTTTATAATAATAATTTTTAGTAATCCTTTGCTTTGTGGTGAAAAAGGATGTTTTTGCTAAAAGTACTGTAATCACACGGTAACACGTAGTGATGTCACTGTGCCTTCAGACCCCCACGTGTGCAATATATGTAAACTGTATGATCATAAAGAGCTCACGGACCGGACTGCTGTGAGGAACCGTTATTACCTGGAGACCCAGCTGAGGCCTGATCCCTTAGAGCGCGTCGATCGCAAAGGTCGATTTTTTAAGTTGGACTATCATCCATCCTTACTATGGCATTTGCCACTTGATTGACGTACAGGTAAGCCAGTCTGATTGTGCCATACGAGTTCATGCAGGTATGAGGGGCCCTCACCCCCCCCCCCCCCCCCCGCGACACAGATTGTAGGTAGATCTTTTGGGCTTGGTCATTTTAAAAGTAGCTCCCAAGCTGAAAAAGTGTGGGCACCCCTGCCTCAGAGGCCCCTCAGGGCCAGGGTCTGTCCAGTGGTGTTTTTATATGTTCAAAAGTGGAGGGGCACGAACGATTGAGTGTGTGTATATCAGCTTCTGGTGCTTTTTTAAACACGTAAACAACTAGCTGTAGGCTATCCATGGTTGCGATAGAGATGGGGGGGTCGTTACAGCACCCATTCACTTAGACCAGGGGTGGGGAACCTCCGGCCCGTATACGATCCAAGTATGCCCACCCCTGACTTAGATAGTGAGGGGGGCTAGATCGGGGCTTGACCCACGTCGCTCAACACGGCTCGATAGGCACACTGTAGACACTAATTAGAAGTACAGACGAATCAGCTGATGCTAGGTGGGGCTGTGCCCACCTGCCCCTAATGACCAGTCGCCACTGGGTCTGACCTGGGTTCTCACTAGGAGCAGTAGCGCCCCCTAGCGGGCGTTCTGAGAAGGTTGGCGGGCACTGGAAGCTACATTTTTAACGGCCCGTCCGTTGACGCTTGCCGGCGGACGTGTCTGAAACTCGACCAACAACCAATCACATGAATCTCCCGCCCCTGACACACAAGCAGCGGTTTGATTGGCTAGATCTTGTACTGGCATATGATTCGATTGGCTGACGCTTCTGCCGAGGCGTCAAAAGTTGAACATTGATCATTTTTTGCAGCGAGCCACGCCAGCAACGCTCCGCATCGCTTCCCACAATGCAGTTCGGCTAAAAGTGACGTCACTCCAAAGTGAATGGGCAGAATCGTTGGAAGCTTCAACACACGCCGCTGTGTGGACGGGCCGTGAAAGGGCCCGTTGGTGGTTTTGGGGGGCGTTTTATCTGCTGCTGTAAGATTCGAAGAAAAGTCAAAATGTTTTCTAGACCATCAGGATACCTACTGGTCCAGTAAACCCCTCCTGTGTTAACCTAACGGCAAAAAACCTGTTTCTGATTCAGGACTTGGTCTGACCCGTCTGACCGTGCACTCAGCTCCTCACTGAGGTGGACCCAGGTAGACCTCTACTAAAACACTCGTTTGCTGGCTCACGACATCACCAGGACCGAATAAAGTCTGTATATATTTATGCAAGTACTATAATATACACATAATATATATTGAAAACCAGCCTGATACCACTGCACAATAATACACCTGCAGGGTTCCTCCAGGGACAAGTGTGCCAGAGTCAAAGCAGGTAGATACACTTGAGATTGAACATTGTTTATTAAACAGGAAGGAGCATTCTGTCAGGACTCCCTCGAGCAGCAGCACTCGCTCTGGATGGGGGGGGGGGGCGTACACCTCGCTAACAGACACACTATACAAACTCCAAGCCGGACGGGCTTCCATCAGTCGGAGGACGAGTTGCCGTGGTCTTGAAAAAAGGGTCAACAAAAGCCCCACAAACTGACCTCAATGTCTTCATCCATTACTGCCAACACTGATTTAATGTACATCATATTTGAGACCCCTCCCGACCCTGAGACAGCGTGCCGACTCGCATTGATCTGAACACTCAGGTTACAGAAAACAAAAACTTTTATTTTGAAATTACAAACAGACTTCCTGTTCAGGTATTTACAGATGAAAACAATAAAATGTATAAAAAACAAAAAAGCGTCCTCTTTTCTTTCTGCATTCATGCAGTCCATTATAAAACTCCCAGAATGCTTTGCATTCAGACGAGTGACAGCGGGCGCTCCTCGCCGTCACTCCGACGTCTCGTCGTCTTTCTGTTTCTTCTTCTTTTTCTTCTTCTTGGCACTGTCCACAACCTGGAGGACAGAGGACACGTTAAGGACCTGTCCACAGTTTATAGTGTCATCACTTCCTGTCTGCAACCTCACCTCTGGCTCTGCCTCCTCTGGCTCCGCCTCCACTGGCTCCGCCTCCACCTCCAGTTTTGCCTTCTTCTCTTTCTTCTTCTTCTTCTTCTTCACTTCCTCTGCAGACGGCGTGCAGGGAGCGCTCGCTGCTTCCCCGTCGCTCTCGGCCTCTCTCTTCCTCTGCAGGAAGGTTAAAGGTCAGATTAATATCACATACACAGGATAGAACCGTCAGTGGCGGGTCTGGGTCTCACCTTAGTGGTCGCGTCGCCCGACGCCTCGGCCTCCTTGGAGGCGCTGGAAACAAACACAATGTAAAGACTTAAAATCTGAGGCTAAGAGTCAGAGGATTCAGTTATCACCAGACTGTCCTCAGAGAGCACGGCAGCACCTGAAGCCCCTCCCCCTCAGCACCCGAAGCCCCTCAGTACCTGTAGTCCGTGTATCCCTCCTTCCAGGCGGTGGGCGTGCTGCCGTTGGCTTTCCCGTGTTTGTCGAGCAGTCCTTTCTGGATCATCATCTTCTTCTGACTCGCCTGATCAGGGAAAGAATAACTTTATTAACTACACAGGTAACTTTATTAACTACACAGGTAACTTTATTAACAACACAGGTAACTTTATTAACTACACAGGTAACTTTATTAACTACACAGGTAACTTTATTAACTACACAGGTAACTTTATTAACTACACAGGTAACTTTATTAACTACACAGGTAACTTTATTAACTACACAGGTAACTTTATTAACTACACAGGTACTTTATAACTACACAGGTAACTTTATTAACTACACAGGTAACTTTATTAACTACACGGTAACTTTATTAACTACAACAACACTACACAGGTAACTTTATTAACTACAAAAAAAAAAACAAGTAAACTTTATTAACTACACAGGTAACTTTATTAACAACACAGGTACCTTTATTAACTACACAGGTAACTTTATTAACTACACAGGTAACTTTATTAACTACACAGGTAACTTTATTAACTACACAGGTAACTTTATTAACTACACAGGTAACTTTATTAACTACACAGGTAACTTTATTAACAACACAGGTACCTTTATTAACACAGAACAGGTACAGAGGACTCGTACCTTGGGGCCCAGCCCCCACTTGCGGGGGTAGGTGTCTCTCTCCATGATGACCCTCTTGATCTTAGCGACCACGCCGTGGTCACAGGTGGAGATCACCGCCGTGGTCATCAGAGCCACGCCTGCACACAGACAGTGTTATTATGATACACGTGGGCAGGTGAGGCAAGTCCTCGTTAACGAGCAGGTGAGGCAAGTCCTCGTTAACGAGCAGGTGAGGCAAGTCCTCGTTAACGAGCAGCCATCAGACTAGGGTGATAGATGAGAGGTCCTCACGGCCCGGAGGCTGCGGCATCTATATGTCATCATGTGGCACACACACACAGAGAGACAGACACACACACACACACAGAGAGAGACAGACACACACACACACACACAGAGAGAGACACACAGAGAGACAGACACACACACACACACACACACACACAGAGAGAGACACCCACACACACAGAGAGACACACACAGAGAGACACACACAGAGAGAGAGAGAGACACACACACACACACAGAGAGACACACACACACAGAGACAGACACACAGAGAGAGACACACACACAGAGAGACACACACACACACAGAGAGAGACACACACACACACACACACACACACAGAGAGAGAGACACACACACACACACACAGAGAGAGACACACACACAGAGAGAGACACACACACATAAGAAAGACACACCACACACACACAGAGAGAGACACACACACACACACACAGAGAGAAGACACACACACACACACACACAGAGAGAGACACACACACACACACCCACCCACACGCACACACAGAGAGAGACACACACAGAGAGAGAGAGAACTACAAAACACACACAGAGAGAGAACTACACACACACACAGAGAGAGAGAGACACACACAACACACAGAGAGAGAGACACACACACAGAGAGAGACACACACACACACAGAGAGAGAGACACACACACACACACAGAGAGAGACACACACACACACACAAGAGAGAGACACACACACACACACACAGAGAGAGACACACACACACACACACACACACAGAGAGAGACACACACACACAGAGACACACACACACAGAGAGAGACACACACACACACACACAGAGAGAGAGACACACACACACACACAGAGAGAGACACACACACACACAGAGAGAGACACACACACAGAGACACACACACACGCACACACAGAGAGAGAACACACACACACAGAGAGAGACACACACACACACACACACACACAGAGAGAGAGAGACACACACACACACACAGAGAGAGACACACACACACACACACACACACAGAGAGAGACACACACACACACAGAGAGAGACACACACACACACAGAGAGAGACACACACACACACACAGAGAGAGACACACACACACACACACAGCGAGAGAGAGAGAGAGAGAGACACACAGAGAGAGAGAGACACACACACAGAGAGAGAGAGACACACACCTGTGCAGATGGCCTCCCCCTTGGTGGTGATGACCACGATGTCCTGGTTCATCTCGATGCCGTCCTCGTACCTGAGCACACCTGGCAGCATGATCTTGGCTCCGTAGCAGATGGCGTTCACCTGCAGTCACATGACCAAAGAAACCAGCCTCAATAAACCCGTCCGCCTCAGGTGTGTGAGCACACTGACTAGGTGTGTCCTCAGCGCGTCATCACCAGCCTCTTGTAGTACTGTGTGTGTACACAGTGTGTGTACAGTGTATGTACAGTGTGTACACAGTGTGTGTACAGTGTGTGTACAGTGTATGTACAGTGTGTGTATGTACAGTGCGTGTACAGTGTGTCCTCACCGCGCTGTCCTTCATCACCAGCCTCTTATAGGACAGTGTGTGTACAGTGTGTGTGTACAGTGTGTGTACAGTGTGTGTCCTCAACGCGCTGTCCTTCATCAGCAGCCTCTTGTAGGACAGTGTGTGTGTGTCCTCACCGCGCTGTCCTTCATCACCAGCCTCTTGTAGGACAGAGTGTGTGTGTGTCCTCACCGCGCTGTCCTTCATCACCAGCCTCTTGTAGGACAGTGTGTGTGTGTGTGTGTGTCCTCACCGCGCTGTCCTTCATCACCAGCCTCTTGTAGGACAGTGTGTGTGTGTGTGTGTGTGTGTCCTCACCGCGCTGTCCTTCATCACCAGCCTCTTGTAGGACAGTGTGTGTGTGTGTGTCCTCACCGCGCTGTCCTTCATCACCAGCCTCTTGTAGGACAGTGGGTGTGTGTGTGTGTGTCCTCACCGCGCTGTCCTTCATCACCAGCCTCTTGTAGGACAGTGGGTGTGTGTGTGTGTGTGTGTGTGTCCTCACCGCGCTGTCCTTCATCACCAGCCTCTTGTAGGACAGTGGGTGTGTGTGTGTGTGTGTGTCCTCACCCGCGCTGTCCTTCATCACCAGCCTCTTGTAGGACAGTGTGTGTGTGTGTGTGTGTGTGTGTGTCCTCACCGCGCTGTCCTTCATCACCAGCCTCTTGTAGGACAGTGTGTGTGTGTGTGTGTGTGTGTGTGTCCTCACCGCGCTGTCCTTCATCACCAGCCTCTTGTAGGACACCAGCAGCTTCTCCAGGGGGAAGATGACTCTCCTCAGGTACGTCTCGTCTTTGTTGTGGTCAAACTGCCACTGAGCGTCCAGGACATCGTGCATCGTCACCAGGTGATCCTACAGGGGGGGCAGTACAGTGTGAGGGGGGGCAGTACAGTGAGAGGGGGGGCAGCACAGTGAGAGGGGGGGGCAGTACAGTGTGAGGGGGGGCAGTACAGTGTGAGGGGGGGCAGCACAGTGAGAGGGGGGGGCAGCACAGTGAGAGGGGGGGCAGTACAGTGTGAGGGGGGGCAGTACAGTGAGAGGGGGGGGCAGCACAGGTGAGAGGGGGGGGAAGCACAGTGAGAGGGGGGGGGAAGCACAGTGAGAGGGGGGGCAGCACAGTGTGAGGGGGGGCAGCACAGTGTGAGAGGGGGCAGCACAGTGTGAGGGGGGGCAGCACAGTGTGAGGGGGGGCAGCACAGTGAGAGGGGGGAAGCACAGTGTGAGGGGGGGCAGCACAGTGTGAGGGGGGGGGCAGCACAGTGAGGGGGGGCAGTACAGTGTGAGGGGGGGGGCAGCACAGTGAGGGGGGCAGCACAGTGAGGGGGGCAGCACAGTGAGGGGGGGCAAGCACAGTGAGGGGGGGCAGTATGTTAAACACATACAACATGAATGCGTAGTGATGTCAGCAGTGAGGGGGGGGCACGGCGTATCATTGATATAACACGGACGCCGATCACTTTCTCTGCTGTTTCTGTTCCAGAGATGAATTATCAGAGCTGCACACACAGCGGCTCTGAACTCAACTCTCTGGGGGGGGGTCTGTGTAAGGGGGGGGGGTCTGTGTAACAGGAAGTGGGGCTGACCTTCTCTCCCAGGACTCCCGAGCGGACCCTCCTCAGCTCCTGCATCTGACCTCCGACCCCCAGCATCAGGCCAAGGTGAACACAGAGGGTCCGGATGTAGGTTCCTGCCTCACAGCTGACCCAGAAGATACCTGTGGGGAGGGGGGGTTACAGTCATCTTCTAGTCTCCCCCAGCCTCCTCCATACAGTCATTATAAGCATTGATCTCTCACCCAGCCTCCTCTCGGGGTCGTACTCGATCAGTTTGCTCTCGTACACAGTTCTGACTCTCAGTTGTCGCTTAACAGCAGCGATGAGAGGTGGTCTCTGGAACAAAGCTCCGGTCAGAGACTCCAGACCCTGGAGAGAGAAGAGGGTTAGTCACATGACAGTCACACCACAGGCAGCCAATCAGAGCGCTCCACATCCACTGACTACATGTTCTCTATAGATACTGTAAGGTTCTCACCCGGGCCAGCGTGTGCTCGCTCTCGATGGCATTGTGCAGCCGAACGATTCCCACATACTCTTTCCCTGCAACACACAGAGAGAGTAGTGAGGGGGGGCCGCTGCTTTACTGTGACACACCGCCAGCCGGGCATTAAACACTACACACACACCATCCTGACTGTATACCTGCGCTCTGCTGAGACTTGACCAACCGGGTGGCTCGGTCCACGCAGACGATCAGACAGCCCGTCACTTTGGGGTCGAGCGTGCCGCTGTGCCCCGTCTTATCCACCCGGAGAATCCTCCGGATCCACGCCACCACCTCGTGGGACGACGGGTTCGCCGGCTTGTCCAGGTTGATAAAGCCCGTCCTGTTGGGGGGGGGGGGGGGGGGGGAGGCGTTAGCATGTTAGCCTCAGGGACAGTTTCATCCAACAGACCATGAGACTACTAAGCACCTGAACTCTGAACTCCATAAACACTCATCTGTTTGCATCTTGATAATTATTAATATATCATATTCCATCAGTGTTATGTGACCTCTGTATTCATGTTGCTGTTGGAGGGCTCCAGGTGCCCCTCCCTCTCTCCACTGAAGCTACTCATGGAGAGAGCGAGGGACACCTGGAGCCCTCCAACAGCAGAATGAAGCTACTCATGGAGAGAGCGAGGGACACCTGGAGCCCTCCAACAGCAGAATGAAGCTACTCATGGAGAGAGCGAGGGACACCTGGAGCCCTCCAACAGCAGAATGAAGCTACTCATGGAGAGAGCGAGGGACACCTGGAGCCCTCCAACAGCAGCATGAAGCTACTCATGTTGACAGGCTTGAAACTCGGGGAGCTTTTCAAATAATTCCAAATAATGATTTTTGGACTTAACGTTAAAAGTTTAGCATGAGTTTAGCTTGTTAGCTTAGCATGAGGTTAGCTTGTTAGCTTAGCATTACCTGACATAGTCCTGGATGTTCCTCTTCAGAGGGTTGCTGCCGTTGGGCAGCGGCGTGTAGTGAGCGGTGCGGATGTTCAGCTTATCAAAGTTCTGCAGGAGACAATCAGAGTTTAGAAAGAGCCTCTGCAGCTGAGACCCCCCTATGCTGATTCAGGATCTCATGCCTACACCAGAAGCCCCCCCCCTATGCTGATTCAGGATCTCATGCCTACGCCAGAAGCCCCCCCCTATGCTGATTCAGGATCACATGCCTACACCAGAAGCCCCCCCCCTATGCTGATTCAGGATCTCATGCCTACACCAGAAGCCCCCCCCTATGCTGATTCAGGATCACATGCCTACACCAGAAGCCCCCCCCCTATGCTGATTCAGGATCTCATGCCTACACCAGAAGCCCCCCCCCTATGCTGATTCAGGATCACATGCCTACACCAGAAGCCCCCCCCTATGCTGATTCAGGATCTCATGCCTACACCAGAAGCCCCCCCTATGCTGATTCAGGATCACATGCCTACAACCAGAAGCCCCCCCTATGCTGATTCAGGATCACATGCCTACACCAGAAGCCCCCCCCCTATGCTGATTCAGGATCACATGCCTACACCAGAAGCCCCCCCCCCTATGCTGATTCAGGATCTCATGCCTACACCAGAAGCCCCCCCCCCCCCTATGCTGATTCAGGATCTCATGCCTACACCAGAAGCCCCCCCCCCCCCCTATGCTGATTCAGGATCACATGCCTACACCAGAAGCCCCCCCCTATGCTGATTCAGGATCACATGCCTACACCAGAACCCCCCCCCCTATGCTGATTCAGGATCACATGCCTACACCAGAAGCCCCCCCCCCTAATGCTGTTATTCAGGATCACATGCCTACAACCAGAAGCCCCCCCCCCCCCCCCTAATGCTGTTATTCAGGATCACATGCCTACACCAGAAGCCCCCCCCCTCTATACTGTTATTCAGGATCTCATGCCTACACCAGAAGCCCCCCCCCCCTAATGCTGTTATTCAGGATCTCATGCCTACAACCAGAAGCCCCCCCCCCAATGCTGTTATTCAGGATGTCATGCCTACACCAGAAGCCCCCCCCCTAATGCTGTTATTCAGGATCTCATGCCTACACCAGAAGCCCCCCCCCCCAATGCTGTTATTCAGGATCACATGCCTACACCAGAAGCCCCCCCCCTCTATGCTGTTATTCAGGATCTCATGCCTACACCAGAAGCCCCCCCCCCTAATGCTGTTATTCAGGATCTCATGCCTACACCAGAAGCCCCCCCCCCTAATGCTGTTATTCAGGATCTCATGCCTACACCAGAAGCCCCCCCCCCCCTAATGCTGTTATTCAGGATGTCATGCCTACACCAGAAGCCCCCCCCCCCTCTATGCTGTTATTCAGGATCTCATGCCTACACCAGAAGCCCCCCCCCCCTAATGCTGTTATTCAGGATGTCATGCCTAAACCAGAAGCCCCCCCCCCCCTCTATGCTGTTATTCAGGATCACATGCCTACACCAGAAGCCCCCCCCCTAATGCTGTTATTCAGGATCACATGCCTACACCAGAAGCCCCCCCCCCTAATGCTGTTATTCAGGATCACATGCCTACACCAGAAAGCCCCCCCCCCTAATGCTGTTATTCAGGATCACATGCCTACACCAGAAGCACCCCCCCCCCCTCTATGCTGTTATTCAGGATCTCATGCCTACACCAGAAGCCCCCCCCCCTCTATGCTGTTATTCAGGATCTCATGCCTACACCAGAAGCTCCCCCCCCCCCCCCTAATGCTGTTATTCAGGATCTCATGCCTACACCAGAAGCCCCCCCCCCCCCCCCCCCCCCACCTATGCTGTTATTGATGAGTCTCAGCTGTGATCAGCGCAGTCAACTCGTCTTCGCGGCGCTCGGGTCGAGTCGTCTCTCCTCGTGGATCCGGGTCGACCCGGCAGAACGCCGAGTCGAGGACATCACCACGAGGAGAGGCCCCGCCCCCAGAACGAGAGCGGGGGGGTGACTGCGACAAGATGGCCGCTCAGCGAATGGATAAACAACTTCATCATTTCACAGATCTGAGCTCCAGTCCTACGCTCCGTTACCTGAACTACACACTACCTGAACTACAAACTACACACACTACCTGAACTACACACTACCTGAACTACAAACTACCTGAACTACACACTACCTGAACTACAAACTACAAACTACCTGAACTACAAACTACCTGAACTACAAACAGTCCAAACTACCTGACCCCCGTTGATCACCCAACCCCCCCCTCACCTGACTCCCCGTTGATCACCCGACCCCCCCTCACCTGACTCCCCGTTGATCACCCGACCCCCCCTCACCCGACTCCCCGTTGATCACCCGACCCCCCCTCACCCGACTCCCCGTTGATCACCCGACTCACCCCCCTCACCCGACTCCCTCGTGATCACCCTACCGACCCCCCCTCACCCGACTCCCCGTTGATCACCCGACCCCCCCTCACCTGACTCCCCGTTGAACACCTGACTCCCCGTTGAACACCCGACTCCCCGTTGAACACCCGACTCCCCGTTGAACACCCGACTCCCCGTTGAACACCCGACTCCCCCGTTGAACACCCGACTCCCCGTTGAACACCCTGACTCCCGACCGTTGATCACCCGACCCACCCTCACCTGACTCCCCGTTGATCACCCGACCCCCCCTCACCTGACTCCCCGTTGAACACCCCACCCCCCCCCCCCCATCACCCGACTCCCCGTTGAACACCCGACCCCCCCCCTCACCCGACTCCCCGTTGAACACCCGACCCCCCCTCACCTGACTCCCCGTTGAACACCCGACCCCCCCTCACCTGACCCCCGTTGAACACCCAACCCCCCCCCCCCCCACCTTGAGCAGCAGAGGCCACTGAGATGTGTCCAGAGTCGCAGCTTTAGCCTCCGGCCGAATGAAGAAGTCTCCGCTCTGCTGGATCTCCTGAGGAACAAACACACATCAACTCAGTGCAAAGCTATCATTATCTAAAGCATCTGATAAAACACATTGAGTTCATGTGATTATACATCTTTATTGAACCGGTGTAACTCACCCCAACATCCTCTATGATCCCTTTCTTCATCTTCTTCATCTTCACTGATGATGCTGAAAAACACTCGCTCATTAAACCATGAACACATTTCAGAAGCCTGGAAATAAAGGGTTTGATTTGGTTCACTCGATATACCCTCAGGTAATAAGGGTTTGATTTGGTTCACTCGATATACCCTCAGGTAATAAGGGTTTGATTTGGTTCACTAGATATACCCTCAGGTAATAAGGGTTTGATTTGGTTCACTCGATATACCCTCAGGTAATAAAGGGTTTGATTTGGTTCACTCGATATACCCTCAGGTAATAAGGGTTTGATTTGGTTCACTCGATATACCCTCAGGTAATAAAGGGTTTGATTTGGTTCACTCGATATACCCTCAGGTAATAAGGGTTTGATTTGGTTCACTCGATATACCCTCAGGTAATAAGGGTTTGATTTGGTTCACTCGATATACCCTCAGGTAATAAGGGTTTGATTTGGTTCACTCGATATACCCTCAGGTAATAAAGGGTTTGATTTGGTTCACTCGATATACCCTCAGATAATAAGGGTTAGCTCTTAAAGGCGGAAACACGTGTTCTGACACCACGTGTGTTAGCATCAGGCGGCTAACACGCAGCTAACAGGCCTGATACACAGAGCGCTTGTGCTTCACACCGAGACTCAGGAGAGAACTCTGTTACAGCAGAACATAATATCAATGCCCTACAGGTGGAACAGGCTTCCTTTCACAGCTATAATACAACGGGATATCTGAACCACGTGGTCTCTGCAGAAACACGTGTTCTCTGTCTCTGCAGCTTCACAGGAGAGAATACATCAAGATCCTGGGCCACGTTTAGACCCGCTTATACCCTAACCCTATAATACTTCAGGTATAATGACGCAAAGACCATCGTGTTTCTGCAGGAGAATCTCTGCAGAAACACGAGGGTCTCGTGGAGAGAACAGCTCTGATCCTGGTGCAAACAGGTATATTTTTGAACAGGTATAATACACGCGCTTTAATAGAGGTATATTATAACCGTGTTATTATACCTGATGTATTATAACTGTTAAAACACATCGCTACTAACGCCCCACGTGGCGTCGCAGACATTACACTTCTGCAGATCAAACCGAGCCTCAGTCTGCCCCTCACAGATAGTTCGCATTATGCCCTTAAGACATGGTGACATTCAATCATTGAAATATATAAACTTAAAACACTTTAAAACGTTTTTTATCCTTCTCCAAAACGTGCCGCGCACTCACCTCCAGTGTCCGCCATCGTGATCTGAGAGAGAGTTGACTCCTCCTGTTCCGCTTTCAAATCTTGTCTCTTCTTCTGTGGTGCCTCGCCAGCAGCTTTCAGCACACTTCCCCTCTGCAGGCCGGGATCAGAACTGCTCTCTAAACCCTCTCTACGTCACAGAGCACCACGTGGTATCTACATCCTCGCGCATGCATGCACGTGGCAGTGGGTCGACCACCCAAACAGAAACATGTTAAGACAGGTTATATAAGTGCAAATGTCCTCTTCCAGTATGAGAGTAGCATGATAGCATAGGTACCCCAGTGTGAGAGTAGCATGATAGCATAGGTACCCAGTATGAGAGTAGCATGATAGCATAGGTACCCAGTATGAGAGTAGCATGATAGCATAGGTACCCAGTGTGAGAGTAGCATGATAGCATAGGTACCCAGTATGAGAGTAGCATGATAGCATAGGTACCCAGTATGAGAGTAGCATGATAGCATAGGTACCCAGTATGAGAGTAGCATGATAGCATAGGTACCCAGTGTGAGAGTAGCATGATAGCATAGGTACCCAGTATGAGAGTAGCATGATAGCATAGGTACCCAGTATGAGAGTAGCATGATAGCATAGGTACCCAGTATGAGAGTAGCATGATAGCATAGGTACCCAGTGTGAGAGTAGCATGATAGCATAGGTACCCAGTATGAGAGTAGCATGATAGCATAGGTACCCAGTGTGAGAGTAGCATGATAGCATAGGTACCCAGTATGAGAGTAGCATGAAAGCATAGGTACCCAGTATGAGAGTAGCATGATAGCATAGGTACCCAGTATGAGAGTAGCATGATAGCATAGGTACCCAGTATGAGAGTAGCATGATAGCATAGGTACCCCAGTATGAGAGTAGCATGATAGCATAGGTACCCCAGTGTGAGAGTAGCATGATAGCATAGGTACCCCAGTGTGAGAGTAGCATGATAGCATAGGTACCCCAGTATGAGAGTAGCATGATAGCATAGGTACCCCAGTGTGAGAGTAGCATGATAGCATAGGTACCCCAGTGTGAGAGTAGCATGATAGCATAGGTACCCCAGTATGAGAGTAGCATGATAGCATAGGTACCCCAGTATGAGAGTAGCATGATAGCATAGGTACCCCAGTATGAGAGTTGCATGATAGCATAGGTACCCAGTATGAGAGTAGCATGATAGCATAGGTACCCCAGTGTGAGAGTAGCATGATAGCATAGGTACCCCAGTATGAGAGTAGCATGATAGCATAGGTACCCCAGTGTGAGAGTAGCATGATAGCATAGGTACCCCAGTATGAGAGTAGCATGATAGCATAGGTACCCCAGTGTGAGAGTAGCATGATAGCATAGGTACCCCAGTATGAGAGTAGCATGATAGCATAGGTACCCCAGTGTGAGAGTAGCATGATAGCATAGGTACCCCAGTGTGAGAGTAGCATGATAGCATAGGTACCCCAGTGTGAGAGTAGCATGATAGCATAGGTACCCCAGTATGAGAGTAGCATGATAGCATAGGTACCCCAGTGTGAGAGTAGCATGATAGCATAGGTACCCCAGTATGAGAGTAGCATGATAGCATAGGTACCCCAGTGTGAGAGTAGCATGATAGCATAGGTACCCCAGTATGAGAGTAGCATGATAGCATAGGTACCCCAGTATGAGAGTAGCATGATAGCATAGGTACCCCAGTATGAGAGTAGCATGATAGCATAGGTACCCCAGTATGAGAGTAGCATGATAGCATAGGTACCCCAGTGTGAGAGTAGCATGATAGCATAGGTACCCCAGTATGAGAGTAGCATGATAGCATAGGTACCCCAGTATGAGAGTAGCATGATAGCATAGGTACCCCAGTATGAGAGTAGCATGATAGCATAGGTACCCCAGTGTGAGAGTAGCATGATAGCATAGGTACCCCAGTATGAGAGTAGCATGATAGCATAGGTACCGTATGAGAGTAGCATGATAGCATAGGTACCCCAGTGTGAGAGTAACATGATAGCATAGGTACCCCAGTGTGAGAGTAGCATGATAGCATAGGTACCCCAGTGTGAGAGTAGCATGATAGCATAGGTACCCCAGTGTGAGAGTAGCATGATAGCATAGGTACCCCAGTATGAGAGTAGCATGATAGCATAGGTACCCCAGTGTGAGAGTAGCATGATAGCATAGGTACCCCAGTGTGAGAGTAGCATGATAGCATAGGTACCCCAGTGTGAGAGTAGCATGATAGCATAGGTACCCCAGTGTGAGAGTAGCATGATAGCATAGGTACCCAGTATGAGAGTAGCATGATAGCATAGGTACCCCAGTATGAGAGTAGCATGATAGCATAGGTACCCCAGGTGAGAGTAGCATGATAGCATAGGTACCCCAGTATGAGAGTAGCATGATAGCATAGGTACCCCAGTATGAGAGTAGCATGATAGCATAGGTACCCCAGTATGAGAGTAGCATGATAGCATAGGTACCCCAGTATGAGAGTAGCATGATAGCATAGGTACCCAGTATGAGAGTAGCATGATAGCATAGGTACCCAGTATGAGAGTAGCATGATAGCATAGGTACCCCAGTATGAGAGTAGCATGATAGCATAGGTACCCCAGTATGAGAGTAGCATGATAGCATAGGTACCCAGTATGAGAGTAGCATGATAGCATAGGTACCCCAGTATGAGAGTAGCATGATAGCATACTCACCCAGTGTGAGAGTAGCATGATAGCATAGTGTAGTGGACATTTTATTATATCCTGATATGTTTAAACCAAATACTTCTCATTTGGTTAGATGTGCTGTTTGCCTCTATCTACACTACTTCAAGGCCACAGAGCTGTTTTGGCTACTGAGTTGACTCACACAAAGTCACACGAGAACTTCTACAGCTCAAGGCCAGGTGTCTAATAACAATGTGACCGTGTGAAGATTTCTTACCTTCCCACCCTTTTCCTCCCTTTTATTTATTTATTTATCCTTTATTTATCCAGGAATGTCCCATTGAGATACAAGATCTCTTCTTCCAGGGAGTCCTGACCCTTTATAAGCTTTGCTATCATATTGAACTGTGCACACTCGCGCAGACATATTTTATACTCTGTGAGACCTGTGTCTATATATATATATATATTTTATTGTATCTGATGTTTGTTTGAGTCATCGAATAAACATCACCAGAAAGACAACTGTCTGATTCACCATTTATTTGATTTGATCACTTTGACTTGTACTCTACAGTATTGGGGTTTTTAGATTTCCATAACAATTGGCGCTGCGAGCAGGGTCTCTGCAAGTTCGATTGGGAACACCTCCGGACGCTGGTGGTGGCCGGCTCCAGGATCCTCGGATCTTCCTCTACCCCGACAGAAACCGTATGGGACGAGAGGACCAGCGCCGGGGGTGGAACTGATTGACTTCACGAGATCAAACTGACTTAAAAAGGCTTTTCAATACTGGGTGAGATGTACAGTGTCTAAATTGTTTAAAGTTAAACGTAATTAAAACTCCATGACATTTATGAGAGGGACTGCTCGAAGATAGGGTTTATCCCGTCGTAGATCGTGGGTTTACGATTAGTTTTTGCGTGATTTGTACTGAGAAACAAATATCACATAGGGTTTATCCCGTCGTAGATCGTGGGTTTACGATTAGTTTTTGCGTGATTTGTACTGAGAAACAAATATCACATAGGGTTTATCCCGTCGTAGATCGTGGGTTTACGATTAGTTTTTGCGTGATTTGTACTGAGAAACAAATATCACATAGGGTTTATCCCGTCGTAGATCGTGGGTTTACGATTAGTTTTTGCGTGATTTGTACT